GAATATTTAAATTTACATTTTCGTGAACAATATAGTATTTTTAATTTATGTATAAGGTCCGTATTATTATCTTAATATACATGCAAATTAGCAACCAACACCAAGCCTGCGTTTACTCATTTAGGGTTTTCTCAAGCCCAATTACAAACCCATATTTTTCTCTCTTTACATTATTGGATAATGTTGTTTTCTAGGTTTAGTCTTACTTAATGATCACATCACTCGAGTCGGGTCAGATTTATATTCAACTCAAAATTATTTTGAAAATTGAAGTCATTCACCTTAGTCTTTTTAATATTTTAAGTTAAGATCCACATCTGATCTGACCTAAATATGTGTATATAATTTTTTAAGTAAAATAAAAATCTAATTAAAAAATAAAATAGGAAAATATGTTATTACAATTATCCTTAAATATATACATAATGATTATAATATCATGTTGGGTCGGGTATGGTTAATTTTTTATCCTAAACCCTAATCCAATCCAACCACACCCTAAAAGATGTGATCTGGTCCAAATTCAAATTTTCGAAATAAAAATTGATCCAATCAAATTGAATTAGATCAAAACCACTGAATCTGAGTAAAATAGCTATCTTTAGTCTTATCTATATGATTTAATTCATTTCAAATGAACATCATACTAAACTATTCTTATTATAACCAAAAAAAATGCTTATCTTCTTAATTGATATGTCACAAAATTTCTATTAAATTTAGTAGACATTTGATATTAATCTAGAATTTAATTACTAAACGACTTTTACCCTCTAACAAAACAAAAATCTACACATTTAACTCAATTTATATATGATCCTTATTTAAAAAGGATCATAATTGGGATCTTATCTTCCAAATGAAAAATGCTTAAGTCTTTGTTTTGAAAGATGTAGGGCACATGCACCCACATGTGTAAAACTCACATGCTCCCCTTGGACCCAACTTTGCTTCACTCTCATGCGACCAAAATTACATGCCCCAAAAATAAGCAATGGAGGAAAATGGTAGGGTTATCTCTAGGGCCGTTCATTCGGTTAAAACCGAACCAAACCGAATTAACCATAACTGAATTAACCAAACTTTTTTTTCTTTAACCGTTAACCGAACTAAATTTTTTTTCGAAAATATTAATCGAATCGAATAAATTTCGGTTAATTTTCGAATTAACCGATTTTTTTATTAAATTGTCTAATTTATATAAAAATTAAATGTTTTTTTAATTCAAAAAAAAGTTTATAATTAATTTAAATAATATATAATTATAAAATAAAATTTTAAGATACATTTTTTAATTAATTAATATTGATTTAGGTTTAAAAGTTATTGGATCTTAAATTATTAATTGGGTTTTAAATAGTTTGGGCTTAGCCCATATGTTATATATAATATATTTAATATTTTTCAATTAAAAAAACAGTTTACAATTAATTTAAATAATATATAATTATAAAATAAAAATTTTATATAAATTTTTAATTAATTAATATTGATTTAGGTTTAAAAGTTATTGGATCTTAAATTATTAATTGGGTTTTAAATGGTTTGGGCTGAGCACATATGTTTATATAATATATTTAAAATTTAAAATTTAATTTCGGTTAATTCGGTTAATTAATCGAATTCAAACCGAATTAACCGTTAACCGAATTCTAAAAATTTTCTTAACCGTTAACCGACCGAACTAATTCGGTAATCAAACCAAATTAACTGAACTAATTCGGTTCGGTCGGTTAACCGAATTAGTTCGGTTATTTGAACACCCCTAGTTATCTCTGCCTCCAAGGTAATGTGAGAACAATCAATTGAGGACACATAAAGAATGGAATGGAATTGAATATGTGCCTCACCTCATGCTAAGAGAGTGATAGACTTTATTGGGTCATCCACTCCTAGGACTCTCTTTTTTTTTCTAAAAAAAAGAGAGAAAATTCATTAAAGAAATTATGATTTTCCTATGGTTTTTGTCATTAAAGTTTTAAAAATATATAAAATAGTCATTAAACTTATTGAAATATTATAAAATAATTTTAAATTTTATCAAATAAGTATAAAATAGTCAACGAAACTTATCAGTTTGTTACAAAATGGTCATCGTTTTATAACATATATTGGTCATTTATAATTATTTGATAAATTTAATAATTATTTTATAACTTTAAAAACTCAGTGTCTACAAATTTATTCTAATATTATTTAATGATCATTTATGTATTTTATAAAACAACTTATTTTTAAAGTTTAAACCCTAGTGTCAAAGCTGATTTATGTTATACCATCAAATCCAAATCCAATGTGAAAACAAAGAAAAAAATAAATGAAAAAGCAAGTAATTTGTAAAGCAAAGAGTAGGCAATGTTAAAAAAGGATTGTGTTTTAAGAACTTTTCCAGTTGTTGGAGGAGACAAATGCCGGATTTGCCTTAAAAAAAAAAGGCAGCTTTTGAAGATTGAGGGCTCATTTGACCGTTTGTTTCTAATAATCAAATGTGCTTTCTCTCTATTGGAGGAGTTGGTAAGATTGAAGGACATAATCCAAAGATTTCCTTCTTTTAATATATTTTCCTTAATATTTAAAATACGTTGCCCATCGTACGAACCAATTGACATATGTGATAAAGAAATTATTTTCATTCCTCGTGGACCCAAATTCGAGCACCGAGAATGTTAGAGGTGGTGTGAACATTCAATGTCAAGAGGTTGAGAGTTATCTTTAAACACATATTGTTTTGTGCTTATCACAGATTAATAAAAAAAACTTAACCCATCATATGCTGGCGAAATTTATCTATTGAAATTTTATGAATTAATATTCGATTCCTATCGTGTTTAAATATTATATTAAATGCGCATTCAGTCATCCGATTATTTTTATAGTTTTGTTTTAGCCATCGAACTATTTTTTCAAATGATACTTAGAATTACGTTTTAAATTCTATTTTGGTTACTCGTCGTTAAAATAAACAGAACAGTTAATGTGGGTTTTTTTCTTTTTATATTAATATGACATTATCTTATGATGACACATAAATATCAACGTTACTTTTTTTTACGATGGGTGATCAATTGATAAATTACATAAAATTTAAGCACTAACAATTATTATACCATGTGTTAATATATAACGACAAGGTGAATAATTTATACCGTTAAAAAAAATAAGATGTTTGTTACCATAACCGTAATTATCTTTGGGTGTATTTTTCCTATTTAAAAGCATCTTTTTCATTTGATAAAAAGTTAAAATCTCTACCATATTACTTAAATAAATAATAATTGATTATTTCATATATTTTAATTATGCTGTAAAAAATTTGGTAGGAATTTTATTTTCAACCGCAATGGAATTCAATGGTTTAGATTTTGAAAGTGGTTTAGTTGAAAAACAATAAGTTTATAAGACCTTATTATCTTTGAATTTAAACCAAGAGAATGTCATAATTTTTTTATTGTTTACTATAATTGAAGTTTTTTTTTAATTAATCACTGGTATCCTATCTATTGACCGATTAATTTAAATAGGGTACTGCAGAGGCGAAGACAATCCTCCCAATTCAGTTTGCTCTATTCGCAAACGTCAGGATTCGAACCCCTGACCTTGCTTAAGGAATCTAGTGCCTCATCTCACTAGACCAACTTCAAATTAAAAAAATTAATTTTAATAATAATTATTTGAATGTATGTATTTGTATTTATAAAAATAGATATGTTTCTTCATATATTTATGGATTTTAATCTCCCCATTCAGATTAGGTGCGTTAGGTTGACAATTACCCACTGCCTCCTATATATACGAAGAAGTCTCTTAAAAATCAACAACTTCTTTTTGTTTATAATGTAAGTGATAATCTCAGTTTAGTTAAACTAATTTCATCAAATATTGCACGAACCAACTTATTTCATTGATTAAAAGAATTATTGTTGTTTCTTAGGTCACGGGTTCGAGCACCAGCGACTGTAACAGGGTGATTAAGCATTCATTATCAAATGGTTGAGAGTATTTAGAACAGATGCTATTTTATAACCACCTTAGCTTAATCCAAAAAAAAATCATCAAATATTTTCAAAGGTTAAGTGAAACTAAATAAAATAAGACACCAGATACCCTAATAGTTGATAAATGTTATTGACCTAATGCCCGTTTGTCAGTAGTCACGTATGGCTATATATCATTTTTTAGTAAAATGTTGTTTGCCGATGTAATCAGAATTGTATAGCGAAGAAACTTGTCAGATTGTTTGGTTTACTCGGAGTTTTTACGAAAGCTATTGGTTTTGATGTTGGAGTTTAATCAGAATTGGTCCAACTCCATGAGGAGGAAATCAGTCATAATCTAAGCCTTAATTGGAATATTGAGATTATTAATTATCCTTCCTAGCACGAGTTTAGCTCATAACAAAATAGATTCTTCTCATCTTAATTTTAATTTAATTTTACTGTTAATTGTTATCAGACAATTATAAGAAAAGGTAAGATAATTTTAAATCAAAATTTAAAATTTAAAACCTATTCAATAAAATTATTTTAAGCAATAAGGTTTAAATAAACGTAATTTCTTAAATATAATTACACGTATCAAATATGCGTTTTTATTAAAACAAAACACAAATGATCAAATTTACTAGATTAAAATTCAATAATGTTGTATATAATTATAAATAAAAAAGTATTTAAACGATTAAGTCTTGATCTAATTAGGGTAAATTCGTATTTAGTATCTAAACTATCAATTGTGAACATGATACTAAAATGAGAAAAAAAACTAAAGTTTTTAACGGTAAAATACTAAAATGAAATAAAAAGTAAACATTAAGTATGTGTTTGAAGAAATTGAAATTTTAGATACTAAAACGGATTAAAATTGATAGTTTTGTACTAAAAGCATAATTTACCCATCTAATTAATATAACATTTCTCTTACAGAGCAGTCGCGCGTTTAATATACAAACGGCGGGTCACGTATAGGAAACATTTCTATGTAAACATACTGACCGATTTTATTTAGTTTTTCTTTTCAAAAACATCCATCCTTCTCAGTTCTCAAGTTTTAGATTCGTTCTCTCTTTAAGATCCCACTCAAAGAATTTTCCATCTCATCATTTTCCACACTTACTGTTTTCTCTTTTCCTTCTCCTTGCTCCAAAGAGATCATGTAACTGAAGCAATGTATTTTAAATGAGGTACCCTTCAAACTTAGTTTCATTTAATTTGTTCTGGCCTGGTTGTCATGTATTCATGGGTTGAAAGTTCTATTTTCTGGTTTTATTTTCTCCTTCCTTTCTTGCTTTTTACTCTGTTTGTTTGGTGAGAAAGCTTAGGAAGAGAACTTGGGAACTGAAAGTAAAAGAAACTCAAATAGGTTATACTTAAAAGCTCTTTGCTTTCCTTAAACCTTTTTGGAGTTCATAAACTCTTTTTTCTTAGTAACCATATAGATCAGTCTATGATATTCTTGTTTTTAAATCTATTATCAGCAGAAAATTTTAGTTTTTGATTCATATTAATTAATAGGTTTCTGTCCAATGCTAATCAGATCAAGTATATTTTTTAAATCACAAGCTTTGGGAAAATTATTGGTTTCCTTTTTTACTGAATTTTGTTTCTGGGGATATTTCCAATTTGTTTCTTCTATGGTCATGTGAATTGGAGCAGTTTTGGTATAACACCATTCAGAAAGTTATGTTTGTCCCGTTTATCAGTTTTGACATTTATTCCATTTCCTGTGAAAAATGTCATGAAACTTCTAAACTTTACCTTCTAGTTTTCGTTAAATTAACATTATTTGACTCTGAATTGCATTGCAGATTTTAAATTTTACTCTTCTTATTATCAATGTCTTGATAGTTTAGAATTGGCTTGATTTGACCCCAGAATTGTCTTTGCAGTTGTTTCAATGGACTGGAGGCTTGAATAGCAAATAGCGAAAGGAGTAGATATGAGGAGAGTCATCTGGTTTGATCATTGGGGATTTCTATAGGAGTGGTGATCGGTGTGCTTTTAGCTATTTTTGCACTCATTTGTATCAGGTATCATAGAAAGAGATCCCAGATAGGAAACAGCAGTTCCAGGAGAGCTGCAACTATCCCTATCAGGGCTAATGGGGCTGATTCGTGTACTATGTTATCCGATTCAACTATCGGTCCTGATTCACCTGTGAATCTGGAAGAAATGGAAAGTCGGTGTGGCTCAACGGGCTTAGAAAAAGCAATGTTGTCTCTATGTCTGGAATACCCGAGTATTCGTACAAGTATGTCTCTTTGAAAGTTATTGTACTTATGAATCATATAGTTAATTTTGAGAGAATTCATTTTTAACAGATACTTTGGTTAGTTTTTTGTGAATTATGAGTCAACAAGATGTTAGTAATTGGTTTGTTTTGTTATCGGTGTGATATGATAAACGAGTGAATTGCTATTGGAGATATTTTTTTGGTCCACTCGTAAATCAACTTACTTAGTTTACCATGTCTGGTATTTGTGTCCTACCATAGATAAGAATTTTCAAGGTATCCTGTTTTGGAATATGTGAAGTTGTTTGTTTTCAGTAAAAGTGAGCATTCTTTATGAGAAATTAACTGGATTTCTCGCAGTTCAATATTTTTAATATCAGGCAACTAATACCTCCAAAACCGAGCTAATGGCCTGGATGTAAGAATGCGCTTGAGCCCTTACACTTTTCATTCTTGATATAGAAAACTAGTAGTGTAGTTGGGTGGTTTGAGGCATGAATGTGTTATCCTTACTTTGTTCTTTGCTAATTAGTTCAAGGTGTTACTCGTACAGGGATTTGCAGAAAGCAACTTATAATTTTACAACACTAATAGGACAAGGAGCCTTTGGTCCAGTTTATAAAGCTAAGATGTCAACTGGTGAGATTGTCGCGGTGAAAGTGCTTGCTACTGATTCCAAGCAAGGGGAAAGAGTTCCAGACTGAGGTGGGGACGGTCTATAGTTCCAGACTGAACTTATTGTTTGCCTTTTAAATGGCTTTGCTGATTGTATTTCTCCATGTGTTTTTTGTTGTTCTTTCCTGCACTCTCTGCTTGTTTCAGGTTATGTTGTTGGGAAGACTGCATCACAGAAACCTTGTAAATTTGGTCGGATTTTGTGCGGAAAAGGGTCAGCATATTCTTGTCTATGTGTACATGAGTAAAGGCAGCTTGGCCTCTCATTTGTACTGTAAGTACTCTGTCAACTCTCTCGGTAGAAAGATTAGTATAATTTGAATGGCCTAAGCTGAAATATTGTACTATTATGTCAGTGCTAAAAAACTCGATTAATGAGCTGGCTGACCTTGCTGGCAGTACTTAAATATAAGACCATAGTTAAGGCAGTACTTAATAGAGGTTGGATTACATCACTTACGCTCCCGTGTAGCTCACAAGGCCCGACATGGACAACCTACAAGTGGTGGTCAATCTCACATGGGGTTAGGAAGGAACATAAAATACACTTTGCTTTACTAAGGAATCTAACAGAAAATCAACAAGTAATAGGTGGTGTGTCCAAACTCGAATATAGGACCATGGGAAATCAAGTACTTCAATATGTGGGATAACATCACATAAACTTTACATACTTGAATTGTGCTAATGAACTGGTATGGTGAAACTAAGTCTATGAGTATGCATTTAGCTTTGATTATAAAGCTTCGAGAAGTTAGGGTTTAGGCGGAACTTTATAGTTGCCTGTTCATTTAAAATTTGGTTCGTATACACTAGCTTCTATTGAAAACTGAATTTCATTTTGTGCAGGTGAAAACGATGAACCTCTGAGCTGGAATTTTAGGGTCCATATAGCTTTAGATGTAGCGAGGGGCTTGGAATATCTTCATGATGGGTAATACTTCTTCTTACTTGGACTATAAATGAACCTATCTGCGTTTGCAGGCATGTATTAACAGATTCTTGAGAATTCATTTTGTGTTTCGGAAAACATTCAAAACTCTTCTTGTTTCTTTTCCAGGCAGCTCCTTCTGTAATACACCGGGACATTAAGTCTTCCAATATTCTGTTGGATCAGTCCATGAGAGCCAGGGTATGTTCCTGCAGATTGTTGGTTATATCTCGCGTTAAGTTGGATAAACCTTTTAAAAGATTGGTACGGTTAAGTATATTATCGAATATAACCGCCTTAAGCAGGTAGCTGATTTTGGGCTTTCAAGAGAAGAGATGGTCGACAACACGCTGCTAACGTACGAGGAACGTTCGGATATCTTGATCCCGAGTATATATCTACGAGGACCTTTACTAAGAAAAGTGATGTTTACAGCTATGGTATTGCTGTTTGAACTCATTGCTGGCAGAAATCCATTACAGGGTCTCATGGAATATGTTGAGCTAGTAAGATCTCTCTTTCACACTCTCGTAAAAGTTTAAGCTTATATATCCATGTTGTTGTGAATCACTGTGATATAACAAACAGGCAGCTATGAGTACTGAAGGGAAAGACGGGTGGGAAGAAATCATGGATACGCGATTGACGGGAAATTCGACCTGCAAGAGCTCACGAAATAGCAGCTCTTGCATATAAATGCGTGAACAGCGTTCCCAAAAACGACCTTCCATGAGGGACATCGTGCAAGTGCTAACCCGAATCCTTAAAACAGACACGGGAAGAAACATCAGAAGTCCCAATCTGCAACTGCGGACGAGGTCTCGGTCGACTTAGAGCAAGGGGAAACTAAGAATCAAACAACCGAACACCAGAGAGACGAGTCCATGGACAGCAAAGGTGACACCTTTGAAATGTAACCCAGTGGCTCTTCCGTTTGTTTACACGTTTCTTGGATTTGGTCTTTTTGTTTTGTGTGGTATAATGTTCAGATGTGGAGGAGGGTATGCTTGTAGCCTTGTAGTGTTTGAATTATCTTTTGAGTGAGTCTTTAGGGGTAAAAGGACTGCTTATAATTTGTTGTAACATTGTTAGATTTTGCTCCTTCATTAGTTGATCTGTTTTTTGTATATTACTAGTACTTTAGAAACACAACTTCAGCGTTTAGACACTCTTATACCACCCTTTTTCTTTTGATTTAAAATTAATGATATTGATCAAACAGGTTCTTAATATCACATCAAATTCAGTCATTTGGGTAATTTAATCTTGAATTTGATAAATATGAGCCTTAATACTAAATAAGTGCGCAAACTATACCACTTTTCACGAATAGGTGTCTAAAGTAATTCTTAAATCATTCTGGTGCCTAACGTTATTGTTTTAGGTGCTCAGGCCCAACGGCGTTAATTTCTTCCTTTAAGTGATACATGTCACAATCTGATATTTTGAAATTTACTTTTTCTAGAAAATAAAATATTATTAATTTATAAAAAAAATTAATTTCTCTTAAATTATATATATAAAAAATAAAATCCTTAAAATCTCCGAATCATAATCTAACCCACCCACCGTCTTTTCGGCCACAAACACCACCGCTGATGTAGTCTTGTCATCCTCCTAGTCATACGCCGTCGTAGTTGCTGACGATTGGCCGTCGAATCGTATGAGATCACTATTTCATCATAGGGTTTGCGGGGTATAAACGTCGATTCATTGTCATCGACTGTTGATCGATCACGATTTCATAGGGGTTTTGCTGTGGGTAGGAGAGATCGATGGAGCTTTGTCGACAGCAAAGGACAACGGTTCGACTTGAGTTTAGGGGTTGAAATGAATATTTTCAAAGTTTTGAGATTATTTCAAATGTTCGTTTTTATATATATATATATATATATATATATATATTATATATATAATTTTATTTTTTAAATTTTAAATAAAACTTTTAAAATTATCATATTGTGACACTTGTCACTTAACAGAGGGAATTAACACAATTGACAGCTCGGGCACCTAAAGTGGTAACGTTTGTAACGTTAGACACCGAGATGAGTCAAAACTACTTTAGGCACCTATTCATGAAGTAGTATAGTTTGAGCATTTATTTTGGTATTAGCCTAAGTATAACTATTGGTACTTAATTATAATATTTATGTGAAATGCAGTACCTATTTTTAGTGTATTTAGATATCTAACTGCATCCTTAATAAAGTAGATATCTAGTTGCATCATTAAGAAAAAAGTAAAGTATATAATGCATCAAAAAGAACAAATTAGGTACCAAAAGTTAATTTACCCTTTAAATGATGAAATTTATTGAATTCCATTATGAAGCCCAAAGTTCATTTTGGACCAATGTCCATCTATCCTCGTATCCACAATTTCCACACCCCATATTATCGTCATCACCTCCTCTCTCCCCTCTTCATGTAAGTTCCCTTCTTCCTCTCCCTCTCCCTCTCAATTCCATCGATTACTTTGCTCTATTTTACTCGTTTTCAGTTCTTTGAGTATATATGGAAATGGGTGTTTCATAAATTTTAATCTTTTGTATCTAGGGTAAATAGTGATTAAGTGTTCATGTGCTATACATTGTGCTTTGTAAGGTTGATGAATGTTCTTCAGTTTAGAGATGTCATTTTGATTTGTTAGGTCGTCATATGTTATCTCTATGCTTGAAATTTTTATAGTCAAAAAGGTCGGTATTCAGGGATGGACCGACGAGGCTGGTGAGGCCGCCGCCATGTAAATTCTAATTGTCCTATAATTAGGCATTTTCTTATATTTTATATTGGTAACTTGTTTCCGGCTCCTAAAATTTTATAAGTTTGTCCACAGGCAAGAAATCGGTCTGTACTTGACGAGCTCCATAGCTTGTAACTTTGATTTCTTGCTGGCTTTTATGTGCAATCATTGCTCGTCCAGCTCATTTGGTAGAGCGTAAGGCTCAACCCTTATTGCCGAAGTTCTCCCACGGAAGCTGGGGCAGCCTACTATCCTACCTCCTCTTACCTCATTACACATGGGAATAGGATTAGCTAATTTATTTATTTTTAATACAACAGATGAAAGAAGAGAAATGAAATGAGTGTGCTTTGTTTAATTTACAGTTGGTACATATGGTAACACTGGATTCTCTTTGCATTCATGGGAATACGTTTGAAATTTCGAGCTCTTTGGCCCTAACATTGTTCTTAAACTAGATTTCGACTCTGCGTTTTGACCGTAATGAGAGATCTGGAAATTCCTATGGAAAATAATTCACTGTTTTTATTCCATGCAGATCAAGCCAATAGAGAATCCTTGTCTCATTGTAGTCAAGGTCGGTACTCCGCTTCCCTTTTACTTTTGTGCAATTCTTTTCGTATTTTAACCGTAATATCCATGCAAAGAGGAAAAAGCACGATTCATAGGAACACTTGCTGTTGGCTGTTGCCCTTTGATTATGTACCGTAGAGTTTTTGTGGCAATAACACATCCGAATTTAGACTGTTCATGGTGGAATTTTCAGAGGGAAGATGTTCGGTCTTTCATCGATAGAAAAAAGGGATATACTTTCATATTAATTTAGATTTCCTAATCCAAATTACGTGTCTGTTCATGCTAGTAAATGCATTGTTAGTTTAACCAGATGAGCTCTACGTAGATACGTTTCGGCCTTGTAATTATGGGGATTATTTTGAATTCTGCATGGTCTTTGAAAAGAGTATTATTGTGGGACTCCTGTTTTGTTATGTATAACATGTTTAGTTTTCCATGGTATTACTATCCCTTGTTTTTTCCCCTTGCATCTCACAGCTTAAACGATGGGAACGGAAGGAATGTAAACCGAACAGCCTTCCGGTTTTGCATAAAATGCATGTTAAGGTCGGAGATACGATTAAAGTGATTTCAGGCCGTGATAAGGGCAAGATTGGAGAGATAAGCAAGATCTTCAAGCATAACAGCACCATTGTAGTGAAAGATATAAACCTCAAGACTAAGCATATGAAGAGCAGAGAAGAGGGTCAACCGGGACAGATAATCAAGGTCATTTATACTAATTCTGGTTTTTTAATACTACGGTTGTAGTTACTAGAAACCGCAAATATTTTAACTGCGGTCATCCTTTTCTTCCCTCCCTATATGTATCTGATGCTTGTATTGCATGGTGTTCCAGATCGAAGCACCGATCCACAGCTCAAATGTGATGCTGTATTCAAAAGAGAAAGAAGTGACCAGCCGGGTGGGTCATAAAGTGTTGGATGACGGGAAAAAAGTCCGGTACCTCGTAAAGACCGGAGAAATCATCGACAGTGACGAAAACTGGAAGAAACTGAAGGAAGCTGCCGAAGAGAAAACTGAAGTAGCTGCTGCTGCTCCTGCAGCTGATTCCCCTTGAGCCTAGCCTAGCCTATAATGTCATAATTTTGAAAATATTGTGGCTCCCGGAAATCTAGATGCTTTTATCTGTAGGCTTTACATGTTTATGCTTCAATTACTTTGAAATATATTGGAAGATTGCCAATTCATTTTTTATAACAGCAAATATTTCTGTTGATCATTGATATGTACAAGTATTTGCTGCGTTTTATACTGTTTTTAATATTATGTCGATATCTAATTGATACTTGAGTTTGACCTTAGGTAGTTAATTCAAATTTTAATTCTATTAAATGTTTGGTGTGTTGTATCCAATCAATGAATATCACACGTCTTCGAAGAAGTCTGCTTATTTGGTTAGCTCACCACGCATTTATCACATCGTTAAGCGTCCCGTTTAACAGAGACAAGGAGTTTTATGAAGGTTACTGGATGTTTTGATGTTGGAAGGTTTCATTCTTGTCGTATCTTTGGGCTTAATATTTCAATTCTATGTAAGAATTTTTTGTGACTATTGTTTCTAATTTTCTCTTTAGATATGTTGTGATTTTGATTTCTATATTTTTATTAATGAAATTCAGTTGACATTATTAAAAAAATAGTAGAATATATTGAATCATTTCAGTAGTAAAAAAAGGCTTTAACATACAAAAGGTGTCAAACATATGCCTTTGGTTTTAGTTTAGTGCCTAACGTTTACTTCGTTCCAGTTTGGTGTCTAACGTTTCATTCCGTAACTCAAATTGGGTCAGGCAGTGAAAGACAATTAATTTTGGCCGTTAAGTGACATGTATCACAACATGGTAATTTAAGAAATTTTATTTAAAACTAAAAAATTAAAATTATATATATATAATTTAAAAAGAAAACACAAATTTTGAAATAAAACTTTGAAAACCTTCATTTCAACCCTTAAACTCACGCCGACCGTCGTCTTTTGCTATCGATGATGCTCCACCCGACCTCCATTCCCCTTGATGACCAAAACCCTCACGAAACAGTGAAAATTCACATGCATTTATTTTTTTCGAGTCAAGAAAATAACTATTTCGAATAATTTTCCCACAAACATTTAAATAAAAAATATTTAAAATTTTGCAGCAATCAAGAAATATTTAAATAGATAATGACAAAACGATGCTTCGTTATTTTCTATAAAGGTTCTATGATTATGACAATTTCATATAATTAATGCATGGTGAGTTGTTAGATTAACTCTTAATTATTATTTTAATAGTAAGTCGAATAAATATTTATTAATGACTTATACGGTTTGAATGGGGGAGGCCTTAGCTTTTGATTAGAGGAGAGTATTAAGAAGATGGAGGGTGAATTTAGTGCTCCGGCGGAGGAGAAGACGGCAGTGGCGCCATCTCCGACGTATTGTGTCACCGGATCCACGGGTTACATCGGTTCATGGTTGGTGAAGCTTCGTCTTGAAAGATGTTATAAGGTTCATGCCACAGTGAGAAATCCAGGTTTCATCTCATTCTTTTAATATTATTTACATGCAATTCTGTTTGTTAAGAATTAGATAGAAGTTGTGTCACCGGATCCACGGGTTACATCGGTTCATGGTTGGTGAGCTTCGTCTTGAAAGATGTATAAGGTTCATGCCACAGTGAGAAATCCAGGTTTCATCTCATTTCTTTTAATATTATTTACATGCAATTCAAGTGTTTGTTAAGAATTAGATAGAAGGTTATGAATATTAAGACTGGATTAAGTTATTTAGAAAAAACATTAGAGTTAAAAAAGAGAAAATATAGACATGCATGCATATATAGAAAACATTACGGTGCAGTCGAGTCGGATCGAATTCAAGGTACGAGAAGCTCGAGTCAATTCGGAATTCGAGGCTCGAATTTTGAATCGTGCTCGATCAAGTTTGTTTAAATCTCAACTTGATTCGAGGGGAAAAAACGAGTATTAGGACACTTGATTGCTCTTGAGCTTGTTTGATTAGCTTGATTAAGATTGTTTATCTGGTGAAAAATAAGTTTGGTTCCAAATCCATGTGCCATCTTGAGTCATATCCAGCTTGCCGTAAGGAACGATGAAGAGCTGAGAAAACTACTCGGTGATGTGACCATGCCAACGGTGGTGAATGCCCCACATCCATAACCTTCTCCTCCCCAAAGCCGGTACCTCCTACGCACCGGTGGTGACGACGATTAGATTAAATTCAAACGATATCCTCTCTCTGTTCAGTCTTGATCCCATTTCCCAGATTGAACCTAATATGATTTTAGTTTCGTTTGCTGCTCTGTTAGTAATTTATGTGATTTGAAGTCTTGTTTTCAATGAAAACTGAGCTTGTTGACAGTGTCGTAGAACCCGATAGGTAGTTTAGGCGTTTAGTTTAAAATGTGAATAATTAATCGTGATCTTCTTATTACATATGCTTAATGGAATAGGCTTTGACCCATTTTTCTTGAATCATATCATTGATTTTGCTTTTTGTTTCTTGAATCATATTATTCCAAGGACTTGACAGATAACAAAAGTTGTTGCTTATGCTGTAATTTTAGTAGTAACATTGTTATCTCTTAGCTCTCGTAGAGATTCTGGAGCTAAGCTCGACTGAAATCGCTTGTGCTATTGTTTCTGCAGATGCATGTATTGAGCATATTCTGGAAGCTGCCAACTCAGCAAAATCAGCAAAATTGGTTATCCAGCTCAGCAAGATTAGTTACTAGACTTAACAAATTTAACAAACTCAGCTGAGCTGCTACTGCTAATTCTGTTACTATATAAATACAGTGTAGTGTATTATGAACGATGAATGAAAAAAAAGTTTTTGATTTACTTCTTCAATCTATTCTTTCAATATGGTATCTTTCGCCATTGGTCTTGGAGGCTTCTTCCCTTCGTTGCTTCTCTGGTAGTCGCTGCAAAGTTTTTTTTTCCTTCTTCCTTCACTGGTGTTTCATCCATGGCTGCTGACGATGGTGTGCATAGCCTTGATCTGGAAGAGTCATCGAGGCACAGTCGATTGTTCACTAACAAGAAAGTCAACATTGTGCTCAATGAAATGAATTACCTGTTGTGGAAACAACAAGTTCTTTTAACAGTAAGAAGCCATCGCCTGGAACGGTTACTCGCTGGAGAACTTAAACCTCCGCCGGCGCAAGTTCAGTCCGATGATGGCACACTGAAAGTCAATGAAGAGTATGAGATTTTTGTAGCACATGACAGTGCCTTAGCCTCATGGCTGTTGTCAACAATCAGTGATCACATTTTGCCTTAGTTTGTCGGCGCAGAAACAGCCGCGGATGTGTGGTCAACGGTTCTCAAGTTTTTTGCCAACCGATCCACAACGACGGTGATGAGCCTTCACTGCAAATTAAGGACGATTAAAAAAGGTGACGAGAGTATGCGATCGTATCTTACACAGATCAAAGAGGTTTGTGATGCACTAGCTGCGTGTGGTAGTGTAGTTTCAGATTTGGAACAAATAACCACTATTTTAAATGGCTTACCGTTTGATTATCAGCTGTTTATGGCGGTTATAACAGCGAGTAAAGAAGCTTTCTCTCTTGATGGAGTAAAGTCTGTGCTAGTTGATGCAGAAGCACAACTTAAGAGTTTCCAGCTTCAATCTCAAGTTTCCATGAGTGCAAATGTTGCTCGTATGCAGAACAACAATAAAGTCATGGTCAGTACAACCGACCTTATAGTTCGAGTGGCAGATCTGGTGCACGATCAGACGCTCGTGGTCGAGGACGTACTAGGCTTCAATGCCAACTATGTGGCAAGATAGGTCACTCAGTGGACAGATGTTGGCATCGCTTTGATCAGAATTTTCCAGGAGTGCTAGCTCAAAAAGACGAATCTACTGCTATAGATGTTAACTCGTGTGAGGTAACTAATTCATATAGTAACAATGTGCATCCTCAGGTTCATGTGGTCTCTCCAACATCAGACATATGGATTGTAGACTCGGGAGCCACGCATCATGTCACCCCCGAGGCTTCCAAAGTAATCGATGACTCGGACTACACTGGTCCAGGTAAGCTGGTCGTGGGTAATGGTCAAGCCTTAAACATTAGTAAAACTGGAACTGTGGTTCTCAATGCTAAGAATCGAGCTTTGTTTCTTCATAACTTACTGCATGTTCCATCAGTTACTAAAAACTTACTTTCTGTCTCAAAGTTTGCAAGAGACAAAGGTGTCTACTTTGAGTTTCATGCAAAAGAGTATCGAAGCCTGGTGGGATCACTCTTGTATGCGTGTCATACAAGGCCGGATATTGAATTTAGTGTAAACAAGTTAGCTCAATTCATGCATGCACCCCGGGAATAACACTTTGCAGCAGCGAAACGGGTTCTACGGTATCTCTGAGGAACTCTTGATTATGGTCTGGTGTTCTCTCCGAGTAAAGAGCTGGTTCAGCTTATAGCTTTTTCAGATGCTGATTGGGGAGGTAGTATAGATGACCGACGCTTAATATCTGGGTGCTGTGTGTATTTAGGTGGGAATCTTGTTATGTGGAGTTCAAGAAAACAAAAAACTGTATCAAGATCCACCACTGAAGCAGAGTATCGAAGCTTAGCTGACGTTACATCGGATGTAACTTGGTTGGATGCGTTGTTAGCAGATATGGGTATTCGAGTACAAGCCTCGCCTGTTATTTGGTGCGATAACTCAAGTGCAATTGCAATGAGTGAAAATCCTGTGTATCATTCAAAAACCAAACACGTTGAACTTGATGTTCATTTCGTTAGGGAAAAGGTTGCAGCTGGGAAGTTGAAGGTCAATTATGTGCCCACTGAGCACCAGGTAGCTGATGGACTAACCAAGGCTCTGGCAAAAGACAGGTTTATTGAGTTTCGGCAAAGGCTGGGAGTTTTGTCATTTGAAAGCTTGGAACAACAGGTAGGATGTTGAAGAATTGAAGCAGCAGGGGGATGTTGAGCATATTCTGGAAGCTGCCAACTCAGCAAAATCAGCAAAATTGGTTATCCAGCTCAGCAAGATAGTTACTAGAGTTAACAAATTTAAAACTCAGTTGAGCTGCTACTGTTAATTCTGTTACTATATAAATACAGTGTAGTG